GGTTAATTGTATTGTTGGATTATGAAGGATTTTTTTTTTTTTGGATATGTATGTTTCGGATGTGTGATTTCTGATTTTGGTTAGCTGCCTATGCGTGGTAAAAACATGTGCGTTCTTGTCTATGTTATGTTGAAAAACTTGGACCGTATCGTTAAAAAAAATTGACATCTTATCGACAAGAGTAAAAACAACAAAACACACACAGTTTTGTATAGAAAGCAAATAAATAAAAGGGGAACAGTATAGGTCGTTGATAACCATAACTGAGAAAGAATACTTAGGAACAAACTGCTTCTTAGTTTAACAAGTAAACGAGAGTGACGATACTGGATGAACTGTCAGAGTTTTCATCATATAAGAAACAAAAGGTATCATTTTATTTTTATTTTTCCATTTGAAAATCGTTTATGTAAGATTACTGTGACTTTTCTTTCCGTCAATAACTCACATACACACATCATCAAATTGGAATCCGGATATTTCATGACAACAACATTGATACAAACTATATTAAACTACATATTCCGCTAAAATACGAGGTATATGACCCCGGTGAAAATAATTTATATTTACTTGTATATAGATACTAAGAAATATTTACCTCGAATCCTCTAGAATGGTTCCCAAGTAGAACTGTTGCATGGCAGAACAAGTTTGAATGAATCTACATAGAAAGTTCACTCAAATTTGAATGAATCTACATAGAAAATTCATTCAAATCCGAGATCCACCTTTTTATTTATAGACTCATTCTATGATGATATCTTCTTTTTTGTTCTTCTCGAAAGAATCCTCGGACGTTGACGCAACAAGTCAAATTTGCAATGAGCTGGCGAATTCTAATTGGTCCAATCGGCATCCCCACCGATAGGCTGCTTCTACCTTTCATGACCGTTACATCAGACCCAATTTAATACCATTCCTATTTTCCACTCCAATAATTGATCCCAATTTTGTTAGTGGTTAGGACCATCACTGTTATTTATTTTTCCTTTGTTTTCTCATAAAGAATTCAATGCATTTGAAACACGGATACATAAACATATAAAAGTCAATATTCGCCATCACTAAGTTTGGTTTATAGTATAAATCACATAAACCAGAGCTCATTAATCACATCAAATAACCCACACACACAAAAAAAAAAAAAAACCAACCATGACCGATCCTGAACATGTTCGTCCACTAGCTCCGGCGACGGTACTTCCGGTGAGCGATGAATCCGACTCCAACCACAACAGCAAAACTCTCCGTCGCCGTAGAAACCGAATCAGATGCTTAATCTGCGTCACTGTAACATCACTGATTCTAGTCACGATCGTGTTGGCTTTAACCTTCACGGTGTTCAAAGTCAAAGATCCGATCATTAAAATGAACGGTGTAAGGATCAACGGTCTATCTTCAACCATTGGGACTCAGACACAACTGTTGGGAGCAAACATCTCGATGATCGTCGACGCGTCTGTCAAGAATCCAAATGCGGCGTCATTTAGGTATTCCAACACAACGACCGGTATATATTACAAAGGAACGGTGGTTGGTGAAGCTCGTGGACCACCGGGGAGAGCTAGACCGCACCGGACCGCGAGGATGAACATGACGGTTGATATCATGATGGATCGGATGTTGTTGAATCCGGATTTGGCTCGAGAAGTAAGTGGGTCGGGTCTTGTGAACGTTGGGAGTTACACTAGGGTTAGTGGTAAGGTTACGATAATGGGGATTGTGAAGAAACATGTTACCGTTAAGATGAATTGCACGATGGTTGTGAACGTTACGGGACAAGCGATTCAAGATGTTGATTGCAAGAATAATATCGATCTTTGAGGTTTCGGTTTTCAAAGGTAGTTTAGGATTTTGTTCAATCAGTTTGTTATAAATTTTGTTGGTTATTTGTTATAGTATGCTTTACCTTTCCTACTAGTTCTTATTTTATTTTATTTGTTTCTTCATCGTTGCTAGTCTTTTGAATGGAGTTTAGATAATGTTTTTTCATCAAATACATTGAAATTGTTGTCAATATATATAACTAATATGAAACGGAAAAACTATGTTTTAGGACGGTTAGTAAATTGTAGTGATAAGCCTTACATAAGTACACAACACAAAACGAATCAAAACAAATTTCAACGAATTAATACAACTAATGATATGTATATGATAGAGTCTTTTATAAATTGGACTCGTCAAATACGAAAATTTGAGAGATATTTTTAAACGGTCAAATGTTACAAGGCTCGAACGTAT